AAGAAGCTAGACCAAAACATTATGAATGAAAGAAACCAGATAAAAAATGTATGATTCTGTTTATATATAATTCTGTTAAATGTAAACTAATCTATAGTGACAGAAAGCAGGTCAGTGGTTGCCCGAGGACAGGGTTTGGAGAGAGGGGGGTTGCAAAGGGACACAAGGAAATGTTTGAGATGATGAAAATATTTGTTATCTTGATTGTGATGATAGTTTTCACATGTTTTAGATATACATCAGAACTCTTCATAGTACTTTTTATATGTTATAGTTTATTGTATGTATATTAGAAAAGAAAAATAAGTCATCTTTTCCACCTAACGCTGATAACCCTCCAAAGGTTCTCCTTTTCTTTCAGAGTAAATGACCACATCCTTATATTGAATTACCAAATCCTATATTATCCACTCCAGTTTTACTTTTTGATATATCTCCTTTGATGCTCCCTCCTTGCCTCTTCTGCACATCAAACTAACATCCCTCCTGTTTCTAGAACATGTTAGATATGTTCCACCTCCAGATTGTTCCACCAGTTATTCCTTCTGCCTGGAGTGCTTTTTTCCATATACCCTCAGATTTTGTTCATGCTGCCTTCTTTGACCTGTGCTAACCAGACTTTCTTCAGTATTCCTGATTCTTCTGTTCTTTTTTTTTTTTTAATAGTATTTATCTGTGCAGTTGACTTATTTACTATGTTTATTGTTTATTCTGTTTTCATCACTAGAATTAAGTTTACCAGGTAGATTTTTAACTTTCCTGATTGATGTTTGTGCCTGACACAAAATGGCACTCAAAAAAATTTGTTGAATTAATGTTTATATATTATTTTGTTTTTCTCACTACAGTTTTTGAAGTTTAACACTTGTATTTTCATATAGGATTTTTAAGTTTTATACTTATTTTACCAAATCTAAAGTTAATTGATAGTATATTCTTTCTTTATACAACACAAGAACTTGAGGATATTTTAACTCCTTTTTCCTTTTTTTACCTCCTCCAAACTGATATCATTATGTTTTAAAATTTATTTTATTTTAACTTAGCAATTTGTTGTTATTGCTTTATTCAATCAATATTCATTTAGATATAAACCATATATAACTCTTTAGACTTTTCATTTCTTTCCGTCTGGGATCACTTACCTTCTGTCTGAAGAACATCCTTTAGTGTTCACTTAGGGAAGTTCATGGTAACATATTTGAAGGTGTTATTTGTTCAAAAAATGTCTTTATCTTGTCAATTTTAAAAGACATTTTTGCTTAATTGGGAGTTCTAGGTTGACAGGTATTTTTCTTTTAATATATTAAAGAAATCATTCCACAATATTTTGGTTTTCATTGTTGCTCATAGAAAATCAGCCAGCAACCCAACTATGGTTCTTTTCCCTCTGGCTGTTCCTTAGATATTTTTTTCATCTTTGAGGTTTTGTAGTTTCAGTAGAGATTTGTTCTTATTGGAGCTCATTGGGCTTCTTGATTTGGTGAATTGTCTTTTGTTGTTGTTGTTGTTGTTTTTGCTTCTAGAAATTATCTTTTCTTATATTTACCTTTCCCATTATTTCTTACTTTCTGGAACTTTGATTAAACCTGTTATACCCTCTTATTCTATTCTGAGTGTCTCAGACTTTCATATTTTCTAATTCTTTATCTTAATTGTTTTTGCATTTCTAGAAATTTTATTTTGTCCTTTATTTTAAAAAGTATCTCCTGTCCTACATATATTTCTTGGCGTGTCTTTATTTCTTCAAACATGCTGTTGAAATCTTCATCTGATAATATTTGCGGTTGTCTTTCTGCGATAGGTATTACTTTTCTTTCTTTTATTTCCTTTTTTTTTTTGATGAGCTACGCATTTTACTTGGAGAATTAATCATGAGAGTTCTTGAGAGTTAGGATCAAAGTGATATATGTTCCTTCAGAGAGAATTTGCTTGTTTGCAACATTAAAAGGTCTGTGTTTGGGACCATTTCTAACTAATGCTACAACTTTATTAATTTTCCTTTGGACTCCTAAGAAATATGAATTTGGACTGCAAAACTGCATGAGAGCTTTTCGGGAATGTTTTTGTTCCTTCTCTGCTAGACATGTAGGTGACTTTTCTTGTGGTCTTCTGAGGATAGGAGGAATGGGTAAGTAGGGTGGGTTATTTTAGGCTTACACTTCTAGATTAATGTTGTAGTTAATGTTGTGAAGCTCACCTATTGACGACTTTCCTTAGGTTAACCCTGGAATTTGCATCTTTTCTACTACCCCTTGGGGCTGACAGGACCAAAGCTCAGCTTCACAGTTAGGTTTTTGACTTGGTTATTTCTTATCATACTGTTAGCTGTTAGATTTATTGAATGCCTTTTTACTCTTTCATTAGACATTTTCTACAGTAAGGTTGGTCTATATATAATCTGCTACTATGTTCACATTTTAAAAAATAATTATAATTGTGCTATATTTTTCATAGTACACACTCTAATATTTGAAATGGCTCTATTTTGTCTAGTGACTCAGTATAATTTATTTAATCTTCTCCAGCTTTGACATTAAGCTTGTTTCTTTTGGTTTTTGCTATTATAAATAACACTGATTAACTGATTTCATAAGTAAAAATGTTACCTATTAATTTATATTTCCTTAGTTGCTATTATGTTGGTACATTTTCCAAATGTAAAATATCTATTCTTAGCATTCAGATCTTAAGCCATTTTCCTAAAGATTTCTGTAAACTTTTCATAAAGATACTAACCCATTGTCTAACAGGTTACTTTGCTAAAATGTTTCTGATTCTGCCTTTTCGAGGAACAAATTTATTAAAACTTTATAAATGATTCTTTTATCAAATTTTAACACATGTTCTTATTAATCATTATATTCTACTTGGAAACAGTTATTTAAAATTTGGCTCTGGTAATTGTTTGCCACTTCTTATTATATTTATCACTATCGAATAGTCTGTGATAGTTACCTCATTTCCCTCAAACCTACCTCCTCATATCCCTCTCCATAGCCATCCATATTAGTCTCTTTGTTGTGTTTAAAAAGTACCTCCCTTGCCCTCCCCTCAAATCTCAGTGGTTTACAGAAATTAACATTTATTATGTCTTTGTGATCTAGGGCCCGGGCTGAAGATATTACTCCATTGGAGACATGGCATTCTTAAAAATAAGAGCTGGTGTAAACTGAGAATGCCTCTTAAAGCTTCTGTATAGAAGCAACATGTCTGTATTCCTGACATGATCAAATGCAGGGGGAAATGCATAGAAATTATGTTTGTCCCATAGGAGGAACTGCAGGTCACGTAGCTGGCCAGAGATATATGGAAGGGGCAAGTGAATACTTGGCAACAATGATACAATCTACCATATCTCTTATGTTTAATTTCCAAGTGTAAAGTTTTATAATTATTCATATCCATATTGAAACTTCTTTGTTGTCTTCCTTTTTACCTTAAATAAAGTTATTTCTGTTATAGAAATGAATCCTTTTACCTGTGATGTTCAGTCTGTTTGAATGTAAGTTTAACACAGATTCTTGTCTGCTTTGTTCAGAGCTTCCTCAGCACTGAAGAATGCTTTGTTCATAATATGCTCTCAATGTGTTTCCCTTCTTAGTTCAGCAGTTATTCTGTCAGATTTTTTTTGTTTTTTGTTTGTTTGTTTGTTTTGTATCCTCAGTTCTCTTGCTAGCTCTATCCCTGAAGTCTTAATGACTATATTTTATTGAATTATTTTAATAAATCACAGCTATATATTTAACATTCTGTTAGGTCATTCTCTTAAATGAAGAGAGTAAACTTATGAGCTTTAATTCCTCTGGAAAATACAGCCTACATACTTCTTCCTATAAATAAGCTCATCACCCTGTCACTAAAAAACAAAAACAAAAAACCTATCCCTTGACTCTTACAATCTGACTTCTCACTATTGCTCTAAAACTATTTTTTACCATTTGCATTTCTCATTCTCTTTGACCTCTGTTACCCCAACTTCTGTTTCTCTAAATCCTGAAGGACTAGAATTCACTTTTTTTCTCTATTTCTAAGGCTGTTCTCTTATCTGTATTCCTTAGAATGTTCCTCTTCCTTCCTCTACTACTTGTGTCCTAATACTCCTAGGTTCTATTTTTAGTTCTCTTGTTGTCATATGCCCTTTTGAGTGGAGCTCTCATTCATATGGCTTTCATATTTGTTTCTACGTAGATGGTTTACATATCTGTGTTTTGTAATAGTTATTTTGAGTTCGCCCCCTTATTTTCATTTGTGGGCATTTCCATTTGGATGCCTTACCATTACCTCCACCTTGACATGTCCAAAACTAAATTGTTTTCCTGTTAGTATTAACTCCTCCATTGAAACTAACTCCTGTTTTTGTTGATGGTGCATAGTTACCAGGCTTCTAAAAGGAAAGGGAAGAATGCCAGTATTCATTTAGCATCTAGTACACACTAAACACTGTGCTTTTCAGTTACATGTTGTTTAGCTCGTTTTACTTCCCAAGAAACCTTCTCCAAACAATCCCATTGAATTCTCTGCGATCCCTTTAGACTACTTGAAGTACATTTGTATTTAAATCATTAGATCCCCAGCATGTGAATCTCCTGTAATTCATACTTTTAGTTTGTAAACCTCTCAAAGGCAAGGATTTTTATTTCATATTCCTTTTTATCAGCACAGTACCTAATAAATACATTACAATTTAATAAGTATTTGATGATTTTCACATAGAAATAATGCTGTAAATAAGGGCAAGAATCTCAACCTAAATAACAACTGAATAACAAACTAATCACTCAAAACTAAATAACGGCTAAGTTATACTCTTGAACCTTGAACCTAATTGAAAGGGTACTTAGCCTCTGGAAGTACTATACTTATTAAGGATCATCTGTTGAACAATTTTTACTTAACAGAATCTCTTTATCAATAACATACCCTCATATAACCATTTTATTTGCTTCGATAACCATTTATAGACAGTAAATTTATTTCAGCTTTTCTTTCCCCATTAGGTGCACCAGGTATAATTTCCTCACCATATGCAGGGGCTGCTGGATTTGCCCCAGCCATTGGATTTCCTCAAGCTACAGGTGACTCTTTTAAAGTTGAATTTGAAACGATTTTTTATGATGCTCTATATTTTCTAGGAACTTATCAAGATGAAAAATGTTAACCATATTGGAAGGATTTACAATACAAGTATTGTGTTTTTCAGCCATAGAAGTGGCTCATAGTATGATAACAGCTTCCTTGTATTTACAAATAATTCTATAAAATCTATTGCTGTTGGTGATAATATTTATATAGCACTTTACAAGGTTACAAAATGGTTTTCCCATACATAATGTCATACATTCTGCATGTATACAATTCACTTGTTTTAGGTCTACAACTCAGTGATGTTTAGCAAATGTAGAGTTGTGTAGCCATTACCACAGCTCAGTTTAAGAACATGCTGTATCTTTTTTTTTTTTTTTTTAGTTTTTGTGTGTGTGTTAATTTGTGACTTCTATTTGTGACTTCTGCTCAAGGACTTTTTAAAAATATGTCTCAAATTTTCTGGTAGAAGTCAATATGAAAATTATCTTTAGAGAAATGTGCTGGCATATATCTGTTTCAAGAAAGAGGTAGTACTTGTAGTTGATAGACCCTCTGAGAAGCCTAATGGCTTTTTAAGAACAGTGAATTCAGTCACTCTGCAAAATACTATATAAATAATAGAATACTGAGTATGATGTCAAAGAATAAGGAACTTGACTTCCAGACAGATGCTGTTGGGCAGAAAACTGGCCTTGATAGCCTTATGGTAATTTTGACACATTTTCTTCTATGTTTTTGCTTTTTTCTTCAGTTATTTACTTAAGTTATATCAAGTATTATAATTCCTCAGATGACTAGATTATGAAATGCTTTTGATCTTTTTAAAAGGTCTGTCAGTCCCAGCTGTTCCTGGAGCTCTTGGTCCTCTCACAATCACCTCCTCTGCTGTCACTGGAAGGATGGCCATTCCTGGGGCTAGTGGTATACCAGGGAATTCTGTTCTGCTTGTCACCAATCTCAATCCTGATGTGAGTTGAAAAGCATTATAAATAAATAAGTCCTTCAGGAGGAGGTCTGTGTAGTCAGTTCTGATTGATCTGGTGTTATAATCAAATAAAAATGTTTGTTTTAAGGATTTTTATTAAAATTTATCACTAATGTATATAGAGGAAGCATATAAAATAACCACTTTGAACAAAGTCAACTGTCATTATTACAAGTAAACTTATGTAAGTTAAACTTATTTAAATTAGATACTTATATTTTGTGTTATCCTTTTCAGCTTATCACACCACATGGGCTTTTTATCCTATTTGGTAAGTTATTTTTAATATTATCTGTGATGTGGATTGAACACATTTCATTATTCAGTAATATTTATCGACTATCTCTGTGTGCCAAGTAGTGTGTTTGATATTGAAGTTAGAGTAGCAAATAAAACTTAGTAATTATAATACAATAAAATTTTATAAAAAAGGAAAGAAATAGTGATCATAATGGAAGCATGTAGCTGGGAGGCCTGACCTAGCTGAGGAAATTGAAGATGATTTACCAAGAGAAAGGAAAGTTAAGCTGACTTGTGAAAAATGAGTAAGCATTAGCCAGGCAGAAAAGGGAGGGCACATGTTCTTTCACAGATAACAGCAGTGAGAGAGAGCTTCTGGAACATGGAAGTGAAGGAAGCCCAATGGGGAGTCTAAGGGAAAGACATGTTGAAGCTGCACAGATGGATAGGGACAACATCCTGCAGAGCTTTGTAAGCTAAATAGTGGAGCTTGGCTTTAACCTAGGAACAGTGGGAAACCATTGAATAGTTTTAAGCAGAAGAGAGGCATAACGAGATTCAGGTTTTACAAAGAAATTTCCAAACTTTGTAACGGTGTTCTTCTCTGTTAAAAATAAATTTAGCACATACTCCTAATTCATATATGATTAATTATTCATAAACTTCACCCATCTTTTACTATATTCATTATATGTAGTATAATATGTACAAGTATATGAGCAATGAAATAAGCAATATTTAATATTTTAAAGGTTTTTATTAATGAAACTCATAAAAACTATTAATATTTAGTGAGAAATGTGATTTAATAGGCTTCATTATTTTCAGAATCTTTTTTATTTTGATTCAATATTCCAAGGTCTGATTCTAAAATCACTTTATTTTAGTACTTAATGGTTGTCATAAATGAAAAAGATACCTCATAAACATATGCACTATAAATAGAAGTGTTTCATTGTTGCTGTACCTAATTAATTATGATGCTAATTTTTCAGCCTAATCCACTAATTTTTGGTGTACTTAGAAAAGTTCTGTTTTTCCTCTTGTTAGATTAGTTGATCTTAAATACTGTCGCATTAGAATACTTTTAACAAATGGGGTTAAAACTCACTTTCACATGGAAGAATTTTTAATGCGATGGAAAATTGTTTCAGATTTTTTGAGTGGGTAGTAGGTTTTTTAAACAGCATTTTTGAAGTATAATTTATAGCCAGACAGCTTACCTGCTTTAGGTATACAGCTCCATGTTTACAGTGCTGTGCAACACATTATTCATTAACGAAGTCCAATTATTTTTTATTTTTTTATTTTTTATTTTTATTTTTTTTTAAGCGAGGCAACCCTTGGTTGACCTCACAGATTTCAAGGACTTTGTCAGTTTACAATCTCTTATTTTTTTTTATTTTTTACGCCTACAGCACCTGGTCTTCCTAGGTGGTCTCCCATCCAAGTACTAACCAGGCCCGACCCTGCTTAGCTTCTGAGATGAGACGGGATCGGGCTTGTTCAGGGTAGCATGGCCATAGACCTGAAGTCCAATTTTAGAACATTTCCGTTACCCCACAGATTCCCTCCATGCTCATTGCAGTAACCATAAAATTTGTATTCATGACACATTTCTGTAATTTTCAGTAATAAAATCATGTATTAATGATATTTTCAAATGTCTCTTTAATAGCCAAAGCACATTTCTTTCTAAAAGTAGTTAATTTCTCACTTATTTTAAAAAATATCACCCTCAGCTTGAACAAATTATATATGTTATTTTTTAAATAATATCTATTTCAACCATTTGTCATTTCTGAAAAGGATAGCAAATTTGGAATACCTTTTTCTTTTATATTTTGAAAGTACCATTCATCTCTAAGTTCATTTGCTCTTAGGTGCTTGCCCATGAGCTAAGAAATATTCTTTGAGTGCTTTGAAGATTTTCATAGTTATTCTCTCATTGTATTACAAAGTATGGTAATGATGCTACTACTTAAGGGTCTTATTTTTGTAATATTGGTGATATCCTGTAGCAAAAAAGTGCAATAGTGCAGTATATTTTAATATACTGAATGAAAAAAAGTGAGAGAATGCCCTTGATACTGTAGACACTTCTGCCTATAATTTTATCATATATTAAAAATGAGTAAAAGTTTTTCATATTGGTTTTATATAAACAAATCAGTGCAAATAAGAGTTTGATTGTTTTCCTCTCATACCCCAATGAATCATTTTGCCTGGCCTTGAGAGATAGGACCCACTATCAGGAACACTAATGTAGAAAAATGGAATGTAATGATATCAATTAGGAGGCTGACATGATAGTCTGGATGTGAAAGTGGTGATAATTTTGATAGTTAATGAGGTTGAGAAGAAGTGGACAAATGTGAGATATTTAGGCCATAGAATCAGTGGGTGCTGGTGATTGATTGGATGTATGAATTTAAGGAAAGGAATTCAAAAGATGAATCTCAGGTCTCTGACTGGAACAAGTATATTGATGATGATAACATTTGTTAACAGAGTTTATGAACACTGGATGTGGAAAGAGGAAAGGGGAGATCTGGAACATAGAAGAGATATGTGTTTGGGAGCATATGTATGAAATTGCCTAGGGAATATATATAATATAAAAAAAGAAACTTTCTTTAAATGCATTAGTAAAATTAATTGAATATTGCATAGACAGGCATTAAAAAGTTTTGTTTTGTCTTTTTAATTAGGAGTGTATGGTGATGTACATCGAGTGAAGATTATGTTTAATAAAAAAGAAAATGCCTTGGTTCAGATGGCAGATGCAAATCAAGCTCAGCTAGGTACTAATGGTTATTAATACTAATAATAACCACCTCCCCTATTTGTATATAAATTTTTCTATAAAATAAACAAATTTACAGATAGTAGGAATATACTTGTACTGAAGAGTAACTCTTTATGCTGATGTCTTCCTATTATTTGGACCTGCTTATATTTAAAGATTAAAGGCATTGAATATTCTTTGAAGTCTGAAGTTCATTTTTCTACTTGAACATATTATTGCTATTTAGAGCTTTGATTCACTTATTCTGTTTTATTTTATTTACTTGTTTTCCTTTCAAATTAAGTTTTCTAGAACTGTTGCATGGCATAAAAGTTTGGGCAAACTTCATAATGATGGCACAAGAAAGTGCCATTCCACAGCCTCATTGTTCATTGTCATAGTGGCTGGTAAAATGTTACTACTCAGATTCTTTAAAAAAAAAAATACTTTGCTTGAGATTAATTTATTCAATAACTATTTCCTGAGCACTTGTTACATGTTCCAGGCAGTCTGGAACTTCCTAGCACTATGCTAGGAAGATAGTTGTTTTTGTTTTTGTTTTTGTTTATTTATTTATTTTGATTTCTTGTCTTCCATTATGATAAAACAAATCATTTAATACATTTCCGTATATGAGTTTTTTTATTTAAAGCCATTTTAACCCTTAAATTGACAATATAATTTTAAATGACTAAAAATAATTTATAATTTAGACAAATTTTACAGAGATTCTGTCTTACTACCCAAACTGTCCTTTTTCTCTTTCCGTGCACCAGCAATGAACCATCTGAGCGGTCAGAGACTTTATGGAAAAGTGCTTCGTGCTACACTGTCCAAACATCAAGCAGTTCAGCTTCCTCGAGAGGGACAAGAAGACCAAGGTCTGACTAAGGATTTTAGCAATAGTCCTTTGCATCGCTTTAAAAAGCCTGGCTCTAAAAACTTCCAGAATATTTTTCCGCCGTCAGCCACTCTGCATCTTTCCAACATCCCGTATGTACCTAATTAGTTATATTCATTTAGATGATTAATAATTTACAGTATACGTTTTAGGAGAGGTAACAACTCTGAAATTATTCTGATGTAGCAGTTGTCCTAATGACTAATTTCTTGTGAGATGATTCATTTGCTATTATATCTTAAGAAGGTGATATTTCCAGCCATACACTGCAAAGTAAAAGATAGCAATGCTTAAAAATTTTCTTTTAAAATAGAAAATTAGCAACTAGTTACCTTTCAGTTATAAAAGGGCATAAAAATAAGGTTATGCAGAAATATCCCATTGATACATACTTGGTCATCCCTTTGTATAGAGGTAAAGACTCTTAAGTAACCAACATAGCAGAATCAAATAATTTCTCTAAGAATTTGGTAAAAAAAAAAAAAAAAAAAATCTTTATTTTTTCATGTACAACTTTCCAACCCATATATAAATTACTTAATAGCTAAAAATGATTTTTTTGTGTGTGTGGCCGCTCTGTATAAACCAGTGTTGTAGCAGACTTGTTCTTTAGTCATCTTCTAACTCCAGGAACAGCAGACTAAAGAGCTTGGGCCAAAACCATTTGTTTTTATATGGCCCATGAACGAAGACTGATTTTTACATATTCAAATAGTTGAGGAAAAGCAAAAGAAAATTATTTTGTGCTTTGAGAAAATTTTACAAAATTCAAATTTCACCATCCATAAATAAAGTTTCATGGAACACAACCATACTCATTCATTTAAGCTACAGCAGCAGTGACTGTTGTTATCAAGACCTAAGATATTTACTGTGTGGCTCATGTTAGAAAACATCTGGCAACCTCTGTTCTGATTCTTGAAATCCTTGAGCTATAAACATGGCGGTTTTATATAAATCTAATACATGAAGGAAGATAAGCTTTGGAAAGGGAGGGGTAAAAGCTCTGGGGTATGGTTGTATGGATGCATATGTGTGGAAATCTAAAGACTGAGGGAATGGAGAATGGTAAAGTTCTGGAATATTACTAAGAACGAGAATAGGAGATGAATAGTTATAGAAAATAATTACTCAGAATAGCATTAAATACTCAGGCTCTCAGCTAGTCTTCATTTAGACTACATGGAGAAACCTTGAATCTGAATTGAGTAACGGCTCAAACCTCATGCCAGCTAGGAAACTGGGGGAGCTACTTAAGGAAAAATATCTAGATTATGTGGATCTAGAACTTTAGCAGCTCATCACTATGGAGTCAGAGGGGCAGCATATTTAGAGAGTAAGGCAGGCTTCTGTCATTGTTACCTTGCAAATGTAATACATTGTCCAGGAGCTGGTCTCATGTTACAACATACATAGGACATATAGATAGAAGAGAGAAAGAATATTTTTTGAACCATCTACCAAGTTCTGGGCACTATGGTGATGTTTTACATGTGTTACCTCATTTAATCTCCATATTAAACATTTTTTAACTGTGATAATATATACAACATAAAAATTTACTATTTTAACCATTTTTGAGTGTGCAGTTCAGCATACATTCCCATTATGCAGCCATCACCTTTGCCCGTCAGTAGATCTTTATCATCATCCTGAACTCTAGACACATGAAAAAATAACTCCATTTCCCTCTAACAGCCAGTCCCTGGTAACCACTATAGCAGTACCCTCTTATCAATGAGGGATGTGTTTTAAAACCCCCAGTGAATGCCTTGAAACTACAGATAGTACCGAACCTTATGTCTAGTATGTTTTTCCTATACATACATAATACCTTTGATAAAATTTAATTTATAAATTAGGCACAGTAAGAGATGAACAACATAATTAAATAGAACAATTATAATAGTATACTATAATAAAAGTTATGTGAGTATGGTCTCATTAAGTCAAGAACTTTTATCTTTTCAGATAAAGGAAACACTATTCAGCTTTTCTTTGGCATATCCAAATTGCCAACATCTGCTCTTGTGCTTTGGTGTCATCATTAAGTAAAAAAAGAGTCACTTGAGCACAAGCACTGGACTACTGCAGTAGTCCATTTGAACACTGAGAAGGTTACTAATGATAGGCTGGTAATGACAGGCTGGTAATACATACAGTGTGGTTACGCTGGACAAAGGGATGATTTAAGTCCCTGGCTCAATGGAGCAGGATAATAGGAGATTTCATCATGATACTCAGAATGGCGCTCAATTTAAAACTTAGTTGTTTATTTCTGGAATTTATCATTTAATATTTTCAATCTGCAAGTATCTGAAACCACAGAAAGTGAAACCACGGATGGGGAGGACTACTGTATTCTACTTTTTGTCTCTATCAATCAGTTTATCATAATAACCTTTGAAGTAAGGTTACTTCCTCAAAGTGGCATATGAAGTAAATGAGAAATAGAATGTGAATGTAGATCTGTCTCCTTTCAGAGTCAGTTAATGTTCTGCCGTCCTCGCTGGCAGTTATGACATGAGGAAGAGTCTACACTCAGTCACTTGACTCTCATGTAATAAAACACTATTTATTATTGACTGCTACATAACAGATCGCCCCAAAACTTAACACGATAGTAAATGGTTATTATCTCATACTTTCACTATGGGTCAAGAATCCAGAAAGTTGCTTAGCTGAGTGTTTTTGACCAGGAGTCTCTCATAAGGTTGCATCTGAAGGCTTAACTGGGGCTGGAGGATCCACTTCCAAAGTGGCTCACTCATATGCCTAGTTGTTGACACGAGAGCCTCAGTTGCTTGCCACAAGGACCTCTCCATATGGCTGCTTAAGTGTCCTCATGAAATGATTTCCTTCAAAACTTATGATTCAAGAGATGGCAAGGTGGGAACTGCCAGTGTCTCTAAGCTTCAGCTATTGTCATTTCTACAATACTCTCGTAGGTTACGGAGGACATCCCTATTTAGTATAGCAGGGGTATATTAAAAGACGTGAATACGAGGAAGCAAGAAGGGCTATCTTAGAGCCTAGCTGCTCCTACACATATGCATAATTATCCTGAAAACAGTTAAAAATGTAGAACTCTAGATTGTAGTAGAAAAGTCAGAACTAGGGAAGTAGCTTTGTAAGTACTAGAGTTAAATAAATACTGAAGCCAATGGTATGGGTAATAATCTCTTTGAAAGAATAAATATGGACTTTCTTGAGCTTTATATACCTGCCCACATCTTTTGCAAAAGATCTGAGGCAAAATTCCATTGTTTGAGGACATGTATGTGTCAACCTCAAACATCTTTCAGGGCAGTGCCAAATCATGCCTTCATTGCATGGCTTTATCCTCTAAAATGTGAGATACTCTGGGGACTTGACTATTGCAAGTTAATCTTTGCTTCATTAGGGCTAAAGTAGTTGGTTGACTCTGCGATGTTTTCACAGCCCTTCTGTTACAATGGATGATCTGAAGAACCTTTTCACAGAAGCTGGATGTTCAGTGAAGGCTTTTAAATTCTTTCAGTAAGTCTGTGCTTTCAAGAAATACATTAACCTTGTTTAATATGGTATGAAAAATTTTTAAGTCGTTCAGTGAAGTCTTCTAGGGTTGGGGAGGAAATTTATAGGAAAAAATTAATTCTATACACTTTTTGTATTTATGCCATTTTCAGGAAAGATCGCAAAATGGCCCTTATTCAGTTGGGATCTGTGGAAGAAGCAATCCAGGCTCTCATTGAGCTTCATAACCATGACCTTGGAGAAAATCATCACCTCAGAGTTTCCTTCTCAAAATCTACAATCTGACTTTCCTGTGAATTTTTCTCCTAAGACTGGACCATAATTTCAGTAAAACGTTCAGACATGGACTGAAGCAGCTCAAGACCAATTCTGCCTCTTTTACAAAAATAATTCTTTCTGAGTTTGATATTCAAGTATATTCAAAAAATTAAGGGATGTTCTTTTTCCCCGCCTGCCAATATGTAGTGAAAGGTTTGATTTTCCTTTATACCATAGTTTCTATGAAAATAATCTTCAGGAAAAAAATTTTTTGTCAATAATTTAATTCCCCATATTAAATTGGATTTCAAGAGGACAGACTTTCTTTTAGTTTGGATCCAGATCAGCCTTATACATTTCTAAACTCTTTTGTACTTTAAAAATTTAAACATATAAACTTTTAAAATTACTCAATGTAATTTAAATTACTTAAAACCAAGTTTTTAACTTTATGATTCAGAACTTTAACTCCCATAGGAAATTATGTTCATTTATAAATTATGTCAATTATTTGGCATATATTGATAGTTATACATGAACGAATTGTGTTGTATTGGAAGCAGATTTAAACTTGCATGTTTTCTTTCAAAAAAATTTTTTTTTTTTTAGTGGAAGACACTCCTTTGAATATTGCATATCTTTAACTTTTTATGACTATTTGGAGAAACAAAGTGTCTTAACTGTCCCCAAGGCAATTAAGTGGAATCTAACCAAGATCTATTAAGGTGTCAGAATAATTAATAATTTTAATAGGAAAAATCATGTTTTAAATTTCAAAATGGCACTTATTTGCTGAGTAATATAACATGATCTTGGAAAATTTTAAAAAGGTAATTCTACTTATAAACTACTTTTTTACAATTATTTTCAGAAAAAAGTTTACAGTCTTAAGGAAAATATTCAGGTCTATCATATGGTTTGACAGATTTTTTAAAGTTATTTTTGGTAAGGTCTTCTTTTAGAAAAAAAATCTCAAGGGTTTTTTGTACCACTATAATCTGTAATACTTATTCAGAATTACTGTGTATTTAGTTAATTTCTTATTATGTGCCTTATTATGTGCTTATGATACAATAGGTTAGAGTTTTATCTAAGTATCTTGAAAGCTATATTGTGGGCTTGGTGAGCATTTGTTTTTTTCTTTCCCTGTTTTAGTAAGGATTTTAAAGTTTTCTTCATTGCAATTTTAAGTGGTTTTCAATAAGTAATAGTTTTTATTCAAATTTATGGTGCTTTAGTGCAGAGATGGGGTGGGGAAGGGTAAATGGTTTGGGGAATAACTCAGTGCACACCTGTAGGCCTCTTCACATTGTGACCAGTAGCAGTCATTGTCAGTTATAGCATACTGTTTGGGGGCTATGAAATGTGATCTCAGTTTCTGGATCTTGTCTAATCTTTATCATCAGAATTTGTCTCAGGATTACTTGGTTTTTCTCAGTACTCTAATGAGAACTTGCTTTTCTTTGTTAATGTAACTTCATTACTGAGTGCCCACACATATGGAGTATGAGAAGGTAGAAAGTAGATTCCTTCTCATTCTTTGTCCCTCTGGCTTTTTGGTTGAATGTAAGAACAGTAGTTGTATAATGTAAAATTGTTTCTTTTTAATGAGAAACTGCGCTTTTGTTAATTCCTTTAATGCTCGACCAGATTTTTTTTTTTAAACAATTTGTCAAAAGGGATATTTTTGTCCACCCCTTTTACACTTTTCAGATTCTCAGAGTGGCTCATCTCACCTTTTAAAATATATCAATCTCTTTGCTATATTCCAGTCATTAATTTGAACATAAGAAGGTTTCTACAAAAGAAATTTCACAAAAACTTGGAGACCACAAAAGATTTTAAAGATTGTTAAAAAGCAGAATCCACTCAACACTGAGCAACAGTTAGGTGTTAGAAAAGGAAGGAGGACATTAAGTTGAGACTTTTCAAGTGGATCGATTTAGCATTGGCTGAATAGATAGGTATAATCGTTTATCAGGTTTTTATTTTTTCACTTATGAAATCTATCTTTAGCAAAACACTTCTGTTAAGCGGGGAGGAAAACATTTATTTAAGAAATCTCCCAAAATATGCTTCTTTTTTCCTTCCATATATAGGCACTATGATAATTTTTAGTGGCATGTTAAATTGGATTATTTCATTTACTCTGAGTTAAGAATTACAGTGTAATTTAAAATCGTGATTCTCGTAACATTCAGTGTAAGTGTAGCAAAAAGTGTAGCAGAAGGGCGATCATAATGGTGTTGAATGTAATTTCGAAATAGGGCATGGCCTTTAAATCCAGGAGAGAACATTGGAATCCTTTTCAGGGATTTGTGTGTGTGTGTGTGTGTGTGTGCGCGCGCGCGTGTGTGTATAGATAGTATATATATACACTCTTCTAATGTTGTACATACATATGCACATTACATACATTTTAATTTATTGACAAAGAAAATCAAATTAAGATTTGGAAAAGTGAGATATTATATAAAATAGTGTGTTTGAAACCATCAATCTGTGTCTTAAAATTAGCTGTAGCACATGGTTGTTGTCTGTACTGGGCTATTTGCTGTTTGAATTCTAGAGGTCTACAGTCTTTGTGTTGGCATAGTTTCTGTAAAAAGATTAAAAAATATCAGGGTAGTGGAAAAACTAGATCTTTATATTTTTGTTTTGGCATGCATTTACTAGATATCTTCTAAGCAATGCTTTTGCTGTTGAGCTGTCATAGTATTCTATTTTTAAGTTTATTTACTTTATTTTAAGGGGTATTGTCATCACTTTTAGAGATGTCTTGACTTTTACACAAAATATACATATTCAGGACTTTAAAAAAATAGTAGTACACGTTTAACAGTAACAATTTATGCCAAAATGTTTTACTTTGAGATTTAAATAACTTACAGAGCAGTAACATGTGTTTTGTGTGAGATACAAATAGAAAAATGACCCAGTATCTTAATTGATAACTTACTGGAGAGTATCAGAATTACCCAATAGCTCCTACAGAATGCCATAAATTCTCTAAGTCTAAATATTAATAATCATTTATTTGTAGTAGTAATGTTTCCAATTTCGTTGTTGAAAGTTGCAGATCTCTCACAGTCTTTAGAGACATATTTCTGCCTACGTAATTCCTATGGGAGTGGAGCACTGCTTTCTTTGGCTCCACCTAGGTTGGAGATCATAAGTTCTACGTCAGTTGACTAGAAGTAAACTCTCATGAATGTCTGTTCAGTTTCATGTTGAATTGTCTAATTTAATTTATGACATATTAGGCAGCAAAGTTTAAATATACATTGAGTATATTATCATATGATTTCTCTTCTGTTCCCCATAAATATTTTTGGATAAGAGATGACAAGCTCAAAAGTAGGTGGTCTCCCCCTCAACGAGTCACTTAAAAACCCTTTTTGCCAAATTATTAGTCTGTCTTTCAGAAAACCTAATGTGTACTGCTATTTTTAAAACCAAAAAGACAACATGACTATGCGTAAAAGCATTTTTCTTAGTCTTTCCTTTGTCTTGATCTGTTGTTAACAAGAATAGAACTGCCAGACTCAAAATATTCTACTATTGTGCTAAAAGAAATACAGTTTAGATTGCACAGAACTTTTCCTTTAAAGAAAATATAACTCAGCCGTTTTTTAAAAGAGCTGTGTTGTTATCTACAAGACTATTTACAGTCTTTTTTCAGAGCAAATTCTAACAGCTAGTTGTAAATTATTTAAAAAATAGAAAATTACTAAAATATTAGTTTAGGGGTTTTATAGAGGGAGAAAAACAAAACGGGACCAAAGTTTATGTGCCTTCTTCAGTAGTCTTAATTGACCTTTTCTTCCTATTCGAGACTAAGATGTAGTATCAGTATTCTGGTTTTCAGGAAATATGTACTATATAGTTATAAAAGAATGTTATCCCACAGACTATTCATCCAAGCAAAGAATTGTAACTGTATAAATGAAGTCTCTGTTACACTCTTGCCTTTATCACATAATATTCATTATGTAGCATTGTGGAGGTCCAAGAACAGAGCTGCTCTGAATCTCTGTGATAGTCATTTTTAGTTTTTGTAACCTGAGGCATATGTTCCAGAGAACAGGGATATTCGTCTGGTCCAGTGACCTTGGTGATAATAATCATGATTGAAAGCTGCTTATGGCAAGCTTAATTCAGCACTGTAAACAGATTTTCGTTCTTATGTTATTTTCAATTTTTGAATCTATGTCGTAGTTGTAATAACAAATTTAAATAGCTATTTTTGATGTCATACTCTGGCCTTTTCCCACTTACTGTTGTTATTCAGATATTTAAAAAAATTCATCCCACATCCAGATAGTACTAATTATAAAGATTGCTGACCAAGCAAAGTTTTGCATCAAAATGTCACCTCATTGCTCTGACCAAAGACTGACTTCTGGTTTTTACTCATTTCTATTAAGCATTTTTTTCCCAAGCTCCTTTCTGAAAGAAGACCTAGTGCAAAGCGGCCTTTACTTTCTATTTCTTATTGGTGAATAGACTACTTAGAGAAAATGGGAGTTTAAATGTGAACTGAATGAACTAGGATAACAAGGTTTTGATGGACATTTTCAGTACTGTATTTAAGAAAAAAAAATAGCACAGTTAGGAGCCTCTGACATTGTCTCATGTTTTACACGGTCTGTTCATTAAATTCCCTTTTTCAGTTCATAAGAATGTTCATCTAACAGAAGATACTGTAAATATTTGTAACAACATTTTTTTTTAACCAGGCCAAAAAAGAAAAAAAAAAAAAGGTTTTTGGGAACAACTTAACATATAAAATGATTTTATATAAAACATCAATTGTCTTGTATATTTTGATAAGCAGCAGTACCAGCTTTCATTTGTAACACAGTTTGTGGCATTGGAGAAAAAGGATTCTGTGATTGTTGAAGTGAATTGTTATAAATGCAAAGAGAAGATAAAATATTAAAAAACATTTTCTAAATGCGTAGTGCATGGTTAATTCAAGCTTCTGTACACTACAGTATATTCCATTTTCATTCAATTTGTATATTTGCTGACTATTACTTAATATCTCTAATCTCTTTTCCTAACAAGTATAGCATTGTAGCATGCCTTTTAATAAATGTCATGACATCTGTACTCTCTTAAAATTTTTGTGTTCTTGTCTGTACTTTGGGTTTTCCCTTGTCTTTCCTGTAATTCTAATGATGTCATGTTTTTTTTTTTTTAATTTTCCATAGCCATCCATCTAAACTTGTCATAGAGAATAGCAAGCATATATTTATACAACATAAAAAAAAAATCCTAAGTCTACTAACCACCTCTTTTTAAACTAAGGAACAAAGTTTCATTTTGGGGAGCAAACTGCTTTTCTAATCTTATGTAACTTTTTCTGTGGCACTCCTTTCGTATAAGTAAGTACAGATTGGCGCATGTGCTCTCTCCTTTCTCCTCTCTCCAGCGTGCGTGCATGCACACACACGGTATATATGTGCAATGCCAAACGAGTTGGAACACTTTTTCTAGTTTAGTTCAATTTTTGGCTTAGTATTCATAAATTCTGAAACATGAGGTGTGATCTCTACCCAAGTTTGCATCCTTTTTAATTAAAGGGTACATATTGCTTTTCCTTAGACAAATATTTCTGGGTTCTTTTAAAGAGTTATTGGGTTGTAGGAGTCTAAGCAGTAATTTATTTTAATCTTTTACTCTAGGATCTTTTGCAAGAGAATTTATTTTTAATGGAATAGAAAATTAGCTAAACACTGTACTGATCTGCGCTGGCTCCCCTGTAAAATCTATCTCCATAAATGTAACTAGATGAATTTTTTTTAAGCATCATAGTCATTTTTGTCAGGAAAGGATAAAATAATCCTATGGCCAAATGAGGTTTTTATAAACTTACTTGACCTTGAAATGCTCTTAACCATCATTAAGAGTTGCAGTTTTGAGCACAAATGGATCTAAGATATTGCCTAGTTCAGTTTCCACTTTTTAAAGATAACACAGAGAAGGAAGTGAGTTGCCCAAAGCCACATGCCAGTTAATTGCAGAGTCTGGATGAGAAGCCAGGCCTCCTTGATGTTATCCATTGCACCCAGGTGTTGTGGTTTTGTCCTGCTAAGTGCTGTGAGGGTTATGATCTCGAAGGACTGTACACGAAATTGGGGTCTTATACTTATCCAAAACCAATTTAAAGACACTGCATAGCAGTGAGGGTATTTCTACTGAAGGGTAAAAATGCCTACCTACTTCTGAAATTTTTAAACTAAAAATGTAATTTCAAGTTGTAAATTTCAGAAAACTAACTCTTAAAAAATGTAGTTGCTATTTGTAATAGTTTGCTAGGGATGGCATAACAAAGTATTCCAGACCAGGTAGTTTAAATAACAAGTTTATTTTCTTACAGTTCCAGAGAATAGAAGTTCCAAGATCAGGTGTCAGCAGGATTGATTTCTTCTTAGGCCTCTTTCCTTGGCTTATAGATGACCATCTTCTCTCCGGCCCCTCACGTAGTCTTTCCTCTGTCTGTGTCTGTGTCCTGCTCTCTTTTCTCAATACCGGTCATACTGGCTTATGGTCCACCCATCTGACCTCATTTTACCTTAATAACCTCTTTAAAGGCCCCATCCCCAAATACAGTCACATTCTGAGACAGTGGGGTTCAACTTAGCCAGTATGTTTGTACCAGCAATTAGAAATTCATAATATAGAGGAAATGTCAGCCTAAATCCATAAATAAAATAGTTTTGAACTCTTGCCTTTGATAGGAAGCCCCCCAAATGGATCATGAGGCCTCTAGGCAATTCTAGTCAGAATACATATAGCTAAAACTATCTTAACAGCTAATTATGAATATGTAGGAACACATCTCTTCAATATTATCTACACTCTTAGAAATAAGTCATTTCAGAGCAATGATCATTTCTAAGACATGCCATTACTTGAATAGTTGCAAGAATCAAATAAGACACCATCAAGCTGTGACCAATTTTTAATGCTCAGCATTCATTGATAATTGAATTGGGATGCTGGAATAGGCGTAGAAGGGTAAAATCCATTCTGTTTACAATCTGTGATTGTGCCTGCATCAATGGTTTTTTTCTGTTGTCCCGTTTCAACTTCTAATGGGAATTTGTCACTTTCAAAACAATTTATGCTGAACTGATAAAATTCTAATAACAATTTTGTTGGATTTATTGCATTCATAAACTATTGGGTTTGGATAGAGAACTTTCACTTTTGCTAGTATAATTCACTAGGAAAAGTTAATGATACTAATGCTTCATGAAGATTTGTATATTTTATTCCTGTATTTTAGGGATAGGGACAGGGTAATGGGAAAAATACAATGGTTCTGTTGGAATAAATTGCCCTCAGATTAAGTAAGGTATCTCTAAAGCGATAGAATTATCTGCTAAATCTTTGGTCCTGCAGAACACAAATGTTAAATTCTGACCTGTTAAGAGATTGGCTTTAACTAAATGAAAGCTGTTATATTAATTATTAGTAATTAGTTATATTGATGTTCAACAAAGTAGTCTTTCAGGCAATAGGGACTATTAGAGATAAAGAAATTTCATAGCGCTATATTTATATAATAGAATACTTTATGCAAATGAACACAATAAAGCTGCATAAAAGCTACATGGAAGACTCACAGATGTGATGTTAAATGAAGCCATACACAAAAGAATACATAATGTATAATTCTATTTACATCCAGTTCAAAAACAGGATAGTGGTTGCCTTTGGGAAGGAGGTAATTGAGAGTATGAGAAGAAGTTTCTAGTGTGTGGTTAATGTTTTATTTCTTGACCTTTGTGCCAGTTACCCAGGAGTGTTTACTTTCTAATGATTCATTGTGCTTGTACACCGAGGATTTGTACATTTTTAGTGTGTTATACTTCATTTAAAAGGATTTTGAAAACATTGTAATTGAGCAAGGTGCTGCCGTTCATTCTCCTTCTTGAATTAGCTGATTTATTCTACCCAGTGAGTTACAAAGTACTCCAGATACCATGGACCGAGTTTTACTGTGAAATTCTCTGACAAATGTATATATTGCATTTCTCTTACCATGGTATACCTATAAGAAAAATGTTTCCCTGACAAAACAAAAAACGTACACTGTATTTTCAAGTAAATTCTATATTTTTGAATAGTTTCATATCTCAACTAAATTTAAAAGAAGATTTTATTAATACAGTTGACCCTCAGACAACACAGGTTTGAACTGCATGGGTCCACTTGTGTGGGGAGTCAGAGATTCCACAAACCGTGGATTGGAAACAGTATTTTCAATGTGGTTGGGAATCCATGGATATGAAGGCCCGACTATGTACTGTTCTATGCCATCTATGCCATTTTATATCAGGGACTCGCACATCTGTGGATTTTGGTATCCACGAGGGGTCTTGGAATCAATCCACATGGCTTTCAAGGGATGACTGGAGTTAAGTTTGAGGAAGTCAAAAGCTATACTCTGGTTTTTGACTCGGGGGGCTTGGTCCCTGCGTTGTTCACGGGTCAAGTTCTGTTTTTGCAGCTAAGCCTGATCTGGCGGACTATTTGATATCTGGCCCTTATGTATTTCCATCAAAAAAAAAAAGCCAAAAAGATCTACCTAGCTCTCTAGCATCCTAAGAGGAGATTTTATACAAAAGGCTTAGCAAAACTTCTTGTCATTAAGATTCTTAAATATATACTAATTATTATAGTGTGATGAACCCCCATGTACCTAAAACCCAGCTGCAACTAATAGCCAATCTTGTTTCTTCATCCCACTCCCCGGATTCTTTTGAAACAAATCCCACTCATAATTTTATGTACAAACATTTCAGTCTGTTCAAGTCCATACATTGCAATGGCTGATAAAGTCTTTTCATACATAGTTTATCTTTCCCTCCTTTATTTCCTCTTGCAACTTATTTGTTAATGAAATTGAGCTATTTGCTCTAAAAATTCCCAACAGTCTGGATTTTGCTGATTATGCCCCCATGATGTCATTTCTTCATATGTCTCCCCACCTCAAATTTTCTATAAATTGGGAGCTGCTGCTTTCCTTCCTTGCCTATTTTTTTTGGAGGGAGGGGCAAGAATACTTCATAGATGGCATTGGGCACTTACATAATTTGTCTTTTTTTGGTAGTAGCTATTGATGATCATTGCTTAAGATCCATTAATTTTTAGGGATTGCAAAATGACAAAGTTCTATCATTCTTTTTTTTCTTGTATTATTTGGATTACTTTTATATAATAAGAGAAACTTCCCCATATCAACTGATTTAGGTGTATTCTCTATAGAAAAAATAAATGCTTCATTCTTTCCCTTTATTTGCTAGTTTTTGAAATAATTATCTTGTTTTCTATCATCCTCCAAAAATGTGTTTACCTTTTTTTTTTTTAAGCCCATATTTTTATGGAAAATTTCAAACATTTGTTAAAGTAGAAAGACTAATATAATGAAACTTCATGTTCCTGTCACCTAACTTATACAATTTATATTGTGTTTAATCTTCTCTAACCCTACTTACTCTCCCCTTTTACTTAGATTATTAATGAATTAAGATAATTCATTTTGTAAAATAGTATATAGATAACTGATCAGTAAAATTTGTTTGTAACATTTTAAAATCTCTGCCTAATCGGTAATTACAGCCATTTTTAACTGCTATTTTTTTCAGTTGTGCCTTTTCTCTCTTTTTCAGCTGTCTTGCTAGAAGTATTTTCAGAGAAACTGCTTTTCACTTGTTTTGATGCCCCAAATAGGTTTGCTTTTTAGTCCATTAATGTTTTATGTTTCATACTGTCTTTGATTTTGTTTTGTGGTTCTTTACAAAAGGGTATGTTACTCATAGCTGTATGCTTTGATTGCCTTGTTTAGCCTACGGATTTCTACTGCATAGCTATCCCTTATGACAGAAACAATAAATATGGGCTTGAGAGTGAAATAAAACTGGGTAGGAAGAAAAAGTTAAACCAAAACAAGGTTTAGGATTGTCCCAATGATTCTCTCACCCCCATATCACTTTTTGCTGTGTTTTAGTGTAGGCGGATTTGATGGACAAATATGTTTGCCAGAGGGTCCAAAGTTGTAAAAGTTATTCTAGCGATGCCAGCAAGGACCATAATAAAGATGTAAAGCGCT